TACAACTTACTCTATCCTCATGCCACAAGTCTCATTTCCATATTGTGTACCTCCAATGACAATTGGGTACTAAAAGAGTAAAAGTAAATGAGGTGTTATTATGAAAGAATATGTTGACAGGAGCCATCTTTTCTTTGCTGGGGAGTGTGTGATACACACATGTGTAGTCAAAATGTAATGTTTGTTTTGTTATTAATATTTATTTATTTATTGATGTATTTATTTATTTATTTATTTTTAATGTGACAACAAGGGGAAAAAAGAGTTGATTGTACACCAAGTCATTTATTAATTATTGCCACTAAAGTTTTGAAACAATACAGCTCTAGCCACTAGAGGAAGCACATGTTGTGATTTGCCATGGTGATGCACGCTGTGTTTACCTCAGACAATACCAAGCTGCTCCTGAGGAAAACCACTGAAGTTTGCATGTGCTTTTGTTTCGCCTGATAATTCAGGTACTTTTAATCTGTTTATGTGTTCCACGCCTGGGACCCATTACAACATCACAAATCATGGTAACTTCAGTTTTACTATCCTCATGCTACGTCTAAAGTTTCATGTAATAAGGCCTACAAACTAAATATTCACAGAAGCATTATTGAGAATACAGTTTCAAAGGAATGCATTGGAAGGGGAGGTCCTATGTGAATAAAAACCCCTCCCAACAAAATGTTTGTGTGTGGGGAGAAAGGAGAGTTACTGTAAGTGAGGCAGCAGGGGCTGGAAAGTGAAAATGGAGACAGTATAAATGAATGACGGCACCTGCCAACCGTGGTCCATATTCAAGCTTGGAAGACACAGCAGGGAGAGCAGCTCCTGAAGTTATATATATATATACAGTTATGAAGATGCTAGTTTAGTGACATATGACTACTGAGTCTGTGGTTCGTGTTTAAGGTGGTCAATTACTTTTTCTGGACTCCTTCGTGGATAAAGATAATTAAATATTAATAGTAATATTAAATTACTATCAGGATTTATTAAACAAGTAATATTGAAATTAATATTAAACATTCATTTATAAAAATAATTACACACACACACACACACACATATATATATATATATATATATATATACACACACACACATATACTTGCAGTTTACATGTACAACATTTTCATATTGTTTTTAACATTACTAAATAAATGTGGGAGATATTGTGAAGGTTAGCTTGATCACTTTGGTTGACATTAATTAATTAATTTTTTTTTAATTTAATGCACATACATATGCACTACTGTGGATACCCTAGGGATGCCCCTTGTTTAAGGAGAAAAGGGGGCATTTTCCTGCCAATTTACTTGTTCACAATCTAAAAGTTGTCAGAGACTGCCAAAAGGCCACAATAATGCAATTCAGAAAGAAAATTGTGTTCCATCAAAAATTGGACAAAACATGACCGTGCATCTCACACAACTCACTGCTATCAAGGTTAGTGAAACATCAGGAAACCCACTATTAACCCTCAGGAAAGATTTATAATAGAGAGGAAACAATCAAAACCAGGTGGAGAAAAACACATTTAAACAGTTAAGATATTAAATGCAGGGAGAGCATGGAGAAAACTTATGCCTCAAGGCTCTGAGCTGTGATCCCCAAGTGAAAAAAATATGTTTAAAATCCTGTGCTAAGGTGCTGCAACAAAGAGAGCGAGGGAACTTGGTAAAAATGCTATGACCTCCATGACCTATCGATCTACTGGATAATGGAAGTTCTACCAGACAGAGGTGTCCAAAAGGATTTAATCCCAGATCATGCACCAGTGTTATTTTAGTATAATTGAGATGCTATTGTAGTTTTATTAATATTCTGCATCAGTTTTTTTATATTTTCAGATTTTATTTCAATTTTAGTTACAATTTTTAGTATGTTTTTGTCATTTGTATTTTTTTAAGTGTCTAAACAGTTTTAGTACTTAGGAGTAGTTCACCTAAAAATGAAAATTAAAGGATCCATGGGTGAGCAAGTTATGGAATGCTCAATTTCTCCATCTGTTCCAATGACTAAATAAACTCATCTACTGTACATCTTGGATGGCCTGAAGGTGAGTAAATGCCCAGCAAATTTAAATTTTTGGGTGAACTATTCCTTTAGGTAAAACTAAATGAAAATGAGAAATGTTGACAACTAGCTGTTTTTTATTATTATTCACTTTCAGTTATATGCACAGAAACCTCACCGTGCTGCAACACCAGTAAGTGAATGCTCATGGTACAAACAACACGTAGAGTGCACAAAGAGTACATTTGTGGAAGAAAGACCAGAGCAACCTCATGTCATACCTGACCGATTTCTGCAAACTTCCCCTAAACAGAGTGAGTGAGTGAGTGAGTGAGTGAGTGAGTGAGTGAAGGACAAGGCCTCCAGAGCACAACATCTCTATCAGAAGTGATGCAAGTAGACCAGCAATTACATAATGGGCTTAAAAACTGCAAAATAGCAAGAGGGCTTGGTTCCATGCCACTGGGCTCTTCACCTATGCCCCGCAACAGAATGCCTGGAATGTCCTGAAATCTCATTCCTGGAGGTCACCATAGGAACAACATGGCGCCGATTCAACTGAGAGCAAACAGAGCAATTATTGTTCCATTACTCAGAGGTCCGTTAACCCCCTACAAACACACAAACTCATATGCAAATAATCAAACCTAACAATTTGTTTTTGTTTTGAGGCAATGGCTTGTGCGAGCAGCAGCTCCTCATAGGATGCAGGTGATGACAGCTAGCAGATCGAATTCATCGTTGCATATCATAAACCAGCGGCTCGTGCAAAGCTCTTGCAAAAACTGCCAGCTTTGAGGAACAGCGTGAGACATAAAACCACAAAATGATTATTACAAAATGATTAATTGTGTGCTGTGGTGTGGGTCTTTTCCCACAGCTGCCTTCGAAAACTATATTTTGGATAATTCTCACAAATAACATCAAGGAAGCAATTTAGTCATGATGTATGAGTCCTGCAGAAAGACAGGAGACAAAATGTGCACAGTTAAGAAATACCAGACAAAAAAACGCATAAAAGACATAAAACGCATCAACTCAAAGGAAAACTTTCAGCTGAAATTACATTATGTAGAATGTAGACACTGGGAATTAGCATTTATGCTTTAAGCTCTTTCTCATTGTTACGTAATCTCTGTGTTAAAGCATACTTTCTCTAAAAAATGTACATAGACAAAATATCAAAGCAACTGATATCTGCAATCAAATGACTCTAAAGAAATAACCTCACTTTTCTGAGCCTTTTATTTTTCAATTGCTAGTAATGTAATGTAATAAAGTATTGCCCACAAGGTTTTTAGTGTATGTATGAAGTCAGTTCCCCTCAAATTCATATAGGTACTCAAGCAGGAACCACAGCTTTAGTTCATCACGTTCACTATATGTTCCACTGGTTTGACATCCAGAATATGTCCAAATAATTACTGTCTTCATTTGAAACATTAAATCTGTTGTTTTAATAGCAACCTTTGTAATCAGATTTAGTTCATTAACATTAGTTAATGCATTACCTATCATGAACTAACAAAGAATATTATATATTGTTCATAAAAATTAATGTTTGTTTTAAACGTTAAAAATGGGGAAAAGGCATTTATAAATCCAGATCAAATGTTATTTTTCGACATATACTAATACATTTTACAACTTTAAATGTCAAAATTTGTATACACATATATTAATGTATTATCACCAAAAATGAATTAACAATGAACAATAATATATTTATAAATGAACATTAACCTAGATTAAGAATTGCTGAGAATATTGCTCAATGTTAGTTCATGATACCTAATGCATTACTTAATGTTAACAAACTGAATATTATTTTAAACCGAACAAACACATTTTTGTTAAATTTAATCAGACATTCAATAATTTTTGTGTGTGATTTAAGTGTCTATTTACTTTTTGGGGCCATTGTATGTTTGTATTACAATACAGAAGTTTTGTGAAAACATTTAGGAAGAATACAGAATAACAATGTAAACTTAAATAATAGCTATTTCAAAGCGACACATGCAGAAACACAAACTACTATACAAAGAGTCACAGTCACTCTTGGATACTGTTTTGTGCTATCAAAGGTCAATGCTTCAAATACACCCTGACATCATCTAGGCTGGTGGTCCAGACATCCGACAGCTTTCTAGCGTCCAGACCACATGGCTGTTGATTAGCAGAGAAATCAGTGACATCACTCTCCCTCTGGGCACCAAACTCATTTATGTAAAAGACTGCAGTAACTGCTACCTAAGAAGATCAAGTACTCCTACAGATGCTTGAGAAGTTGATGCTAAATTTAACAGGTGCTTTTCTTTGGCTGCTCAGTATATCTTCCTGCCTGTGCAATTTAAATGCTTTTTATCAGGCCATTTGGTTGGCCTTGAACATTAAGAGAATTGAAATATGCTTATCTCTTGAAGTGAGTGATATAGGTTGCCTTCCATGTTTTAAGCATACATTTCTGATATATATAGGCTTTGTTTGTTGCTCTTTTTTTAGCAAGTTGACTGAGGCCAACCAGAGAATGTAATATGTGAAAGGAATGGCCAGTGGATATAGATGCTATTCTAAACTGCCTTGAACAAAAATGTAAATTTCCTTACCAGGATCTCTATGACAAGCAGCTCTTGGCAGAACAAAAATGTAATTTCCACAGAAATGGGCTTAACTGAATACTCTGTGCTCTATCATACATAATGGTTGATTAATCCAGGTCTCAAGGGAGTCTTTAACTTAAGGGCAATTGAATTTAAGAGTGATTCTTATCACACTGAATGACTCTCACAGACTCATGGTGCCTCTTATAAAGCGTCCCTCTATGAATATTCAGGAAATACACACAAATGCAATTTGCTCATCATTTTTACCCATATCACTGACATTTCAAGTATATAGTGCTTTAAATTCTATAACATAAAAAGACAGAAACCAACTATAAGTTGAATCCATTGGCAGCAAGTGAAAAATTGTTGTAACTTTAGTCTTACCAAGAAATATGTGGCATTAGGAAACAAGTTGACGGTCATAAATCCTTGACAGATGGCTTTCTCTCCTCTATACGGCACCATCTTCCTGTGCTTAAAATAGAAAATGCATCAATGAGATGTAAAATTGTGTCAATTAAGTTACAACATCTAAGAATTGCTCAGCATTTTTTTTTGCTTTGACCAAAATTTCCTGTTATACATATAAGACGTTTTAAAAGACAAAAAGGGATTCAAATTATGCTCTTCTGGAAAGTGATAAACCATGCATTGCACTGTATATGTCAGGAGCTACAAATATTTCGAAATTTTGATAGCATTCAAAATCAGCACAAAGAATCCATTCCTGAATAGTTTGTTAGAGCAAAATCTAGATTATTTCAAATCCAGACACGTCTCCGATGTCCAGCTCTGCAGATCATAATCTACATACAAGATGAACTTGGAATACCATTAACGTGACATCATCCTTCTAATCCATCTCCATGATGCCTTCCATGGCTGCCAGCCAAACCAGGCCAGCTTACACACTACTAGCTGTAACAGACATTAGTTATTCAGATGCACAGATGCCTGCGATCTAATCACTGATAATGCTGCCTTGATGTAATATCAAACAAAACACGAATACAGTGCTTCTTAAGTGACCCACTGCCTAATATTAGTCAAATCAATGGGTATGAATATTTCTCAGTCAAACTGGTCTTCTTCCCCCCAATATAGCCAACACACTTTACCTAATCTCTATAGTTTAAGGTTGCATTTGACCTGAGACACGCTTTTCAGATCATACTCTCACTCTGTGGACGAACAGAGAGATCACAGACTTATTTAGAGGAGATATTATCTCCTGCAAAGCTTGTTTGGCTGAGGTGTGAAACTCACACAGGTCCCCTCTCAACTTCAGCAGGGCAGTGACCTCCACTGGCCACCCACCAGCACACAGAACAGATCGCGTTTGTCAAGGCTTCATTCCTGGGATGGGACGAGGAAGTTAAGAGTCACTCTGTGCGGTCTGAGAACATCTATTTATGGCTTTTAGGCTAAGCATGAAAACGACCAGGACTGATGCGGTGGTGTGATGTTTCAGAGCATATTCCCTTGACTCAGGAATGCACGGCAAAGAGGCCCAACGAATCACACTTGAAAGTGAATGAAAAATAAAGAAATGTATACTCAGTATACACCACAATAAACTAAATGTCAATTTGAGAATATTTAAATGTTATCAAAACACACTGATGGTTATATAAGTTATTTGCGGTGGAACCAAGTCTCAAGTTTCAAGTTTGTAAACTACAAATGAAAGGAATTTCATATAAAATATTACACCAAGTCTTTGTTATACATTTTGTTATTTTATAAACAATTAATTAACAATAGTAATAATAATTTAAAAAAAAATATTATTATTATTATTATTATTTAAAATCTTTTTTTTTCTTTCTTTTTTGTCAACAGAAGGTATGAAATGAAGATGAATAAATAATGACAATTTTTATTTTTGTGTGAACTATCCCTTTACTCTTTTTCTGCTAATTATACCACACACACAACCTAAGAATATATTTCCTTCTTATGTCTTTAAATTCATCCCTCACATAAACATGGACTTTATGGTTTACACCAAATCTTAAATTCAGAACACTACATTTATCAGTCATTCCCTGAAGAGACAACCACAAATGAAAACATTTGGTAATTGGGAAAACCAGAAAGGTTAATGTCAAATACTTTTGCACCTTCAAAATAAGACTCTTGCATAATATTTGTGTGAAAGAAAATGATATATGTCACTCTCCATTATTATTAGCCATAATGGCTACAGACTGGAAGGTATTACACATAATTGCTAAACATATGCTACAGAATCCTACAAACACTGTGGCTGTGGCTTTGATTTAGTCTGAAGCTCAGACTGTTTTGTCATACCTAACAGACAGAAAAGCCACAAAAAATGTAATGGCACTGCCAAACAGCTCCTGCATGAGTGTATTCATCAGACGCAGATATGCAATACACCCTGAGATCTGACCATGATTTGATGAGATTTCCGTATTTACAACATGCCACTTCAGGACTAGATGTTTTTTAATATCATTGTACAGTTATAAAAATTCCTCATGGTACACAATATGACATTATTATTTTGTGTTTACTTGCTGACAACTTTTCACAAAATGGAACACAATGCAACCCAACAGATTTTTTAAAGTGAGTTTCATACTTAAAGGGATAGTTCACCCAAAAATGAAATTGTCATTATTTACTCACACTCAGGGTATTCCAACACCACTGACTTTCTTCAAGGACAAAAAAAAAAGAGAAGAAAGAACAATTTTTTTTAGAGAAGAAAGAACATTTATTTAAATTTGGAATTACACGAGAGTGAATTAATTATGAGAGAAAGCCTTTACATCATCTGTGACCACAAGAACTGTATTCCCTTATGTGTGCATGAGCAGACAAGCCCACACTCAATTTCAGTTTCCTCTTGTATAACCAATCTTAACTGCCTGAATTATTTTTCTCTGTCAAGTGATTGTGCAATGTTTTGGATTAAGGAATAATCTGAGTTAAGATGAAAACATAAAATTAACAATATAGTTTGAGTCCTGTCAGCTGACTGTGGCCTCACATGGTGGCTCACCCATCAGTTACAGGTGATTAATGTGGATTGCAGCTAATTCGCTTTTAGTCTTCACAGCGTTCTTACAGTAAGTATGAATGAAAGGACCCGTCTGCAGTAATCGCATAAGATTAGATCAACTCGACTATTATTAAGTGGTTTTAGTCATAGTCGCCAGCCAAAAGAACACATTCGACACACTGAAAAGGAAAGTCATATGACACTGAAAAGAACACAATCCTTGCAAATCTACTTCCTCCATAAGGTCTTTGATAATGTAAAGATTTTCTCTGATGTCTAAGTATTAAATGTTGATTTTAGTCTAAAATGTTGCACTGGCAGATCAAAGGCCTTTTTGTGATTCATGCAGCTGCCATGATATACTAGGACACTGACATAATGGTGCTTTACACTGTATTTAAGTGGTACAATAGATCTAGGTCCACAGATATACATTTCCCCTTCCTTTCTCATCAATCTTCAGTCCTTTAGACTTTCTTGCACCCCTATCATAATGATAACAATAGCACTATATCAGGTAACATAATAGGTCTGATGCAGAATGTACAGAGGCATAATTTAACACTATTTGACACTCAGACCTGAGGTCATTTTTGTTGCCAGACAGTAGCGAATGAGAAATTCTGAAAATATGAGACTTTGCAGAAATATTATGCATACATAAACAAAATCAAAGAGGGAAAAAAACTATTTTTTCCTGCAGACTGGACAGCATCCAGCTTTCATGAGCTTTGCTTTCTAAACATCTAAGGAGGAAACTACTTCAATCTTCATTAGCTAAATTCTTCAGAAGATATGCCTAGGAACTGAGGGAAAATATTTTGAGGAAGATAAAGACTTCTACACAATTTATTACATACTGTAAGATTAGATCCGCTGTATTAAATATTATTAAAACAAAATCCATCAGCTCACAACAGAAACTTATACGAGAAAGACGTGAGATATAAACTATATTAGCTGATTGATAGTTTGGTTCAGTTCCTACAAAATCTGTGTGCTTCCTTTCGGTGACAGCTTAAGCTTTTTAATCATCTGAAAGCTGTCATGGCACAGGAGTGCGTGTGAAGCTCACAGGAGGCAGCGTGACAAGTTTAGGAAGCATGTCAGCTCAAGTTAAGCATTCTTGCCTGATCCAATATCTGCCACACCATTAACCAATGCATGAGCTCCCAGACACAACAAACAACTGCCTTTGACATACAATTTCTCATGTTATCTATTTTTAGACCTTTATTTGATCAGATCAGGAGTCGTGTGTTGTTCACAATGAGATGCTTTGAGTGTTCAGGTGTAAGTAAAATTTTATGAGTATAATTTTCTCTATGGGTCCGTGTAACGACAAATGTGTTTATTCAGGGCCTAGGCCAAAACAGCACTACTAGCAGAAAAAGGAAAAGGTGTGGGCAGAATAAGAAAACACCAATTTTCCAAGAAAATTAAAACACAAGCAGGGGCCTCATTTCTAATAAAATGTGTACGAGCACCCAAACTGTGATGATAATTTCCTGAATGTTCCTATGAATGATTTAGAAGAGCAAACAAGAGACTGGAATGTAACAGCATTTTTGTTTGTCTGTATATAATTAAATTTAAGTGAGTGAGTGACGTGACATGTGGCCAAGTATGAGTATTCCATACTCTGAATTAGTGCTCTGCATTTATCCCATCCAAAGTGCACACAAACCGCAGTGAACACACACACCGTGAACACACACCCGGAGCAGTGGGCAGCCATTTTCTGCTGCGCCGCCCGGGGAGCGCCCGGGGAGCTGGGGGTTCGGTGCCTTGCTCAATGGCACCTCAGTCGTGGTATTGAAGGTGGAAGAGAGAGCTGTACATTCACTCCCCCCACCTACAATCCCTGCCGGTACGAGACTCGAACCCGCAACCATGGGTTACGAGTCCGACTCTCTAACCATTAGGCCATGACTTCCCCACGACTTCCCCATTGTAATGTTTGTACAAAAGGCTACAAATAAAACTGCTCAACTGACCTCATAGGCCCCAAAATTAGCTGCACAGATACAGTATAAATACAAATTGTAGATAATATCCAAAGATACACTTCCGTTTCAATGTTTGGGTTCAGTAAGTTTTTTTTTTTAATTATTATTATTTATTTATTTTTTGAAATAAATAATTGTATTCAGCATTGATGCAATAAATCGATTAAAAATTACAGACATTTATATAATACAAAATATTTCTATTTTAAGTAAATGCTGTTCTTCTGAACTTTATAATCATCAAAGAATATCACAGTTTACACAAAAATTAATCAGCATAACTGTTTTCAACATTGATAGCAAGAAATCAGCAAATCAGCATATTTGATTGATTTCTGAAGGATCATGTGACACTGTAGACTGGAATAAATTACATATTAAATATATATTAAAATGCAAAACAGTTATTTTAAAAAATTTTTACTCTATTTTGG